GTGTATATATATATATATTAGATTATTCTTAAGTACGTTAAAAAAAAGTGAAAAGGATAGTTACTACCGTGAGGTGGATGTATGCCTCATATGCAGAATGCCACTTGCCATTATATACATTTAAGTTATTTCATGAAGGGTGACTCACGGCTGAAGTTACCAATGTCAATCTCACGAGAATAAAAAAAGCAAAGGTTATTACATACTTCACGTGAAGTATAGCAGAGGGAAAAAAAGGACGTGAGAAAGTTACGAAGAAAGAAAAAAAAAAGAGTTGCTAGATAGAGACGGAGGAAGGAAAATCAAGCATTTTCATTGAGATTTCTTCCGTTCAGTCCGGTAGAAATGTAACCTAAGGCGTTTTAGTGAAAAAACCTCAACTTCTAGAGGTAAGATTTCAGAGTTTTCGTGAAAATTCTATGTTTTCTTGATTTGGATGAATAGTAACCCATCTCATAAAAACTTTCGTTACAGTGAAAATTGAAACTGAGGTTTTGTAGAGCATCGTAATAAGAGTTTAACGGTGTAAGTATTAAGACGATTGAATGAAGTTTTGGTGGATTTCCATTGAAAATCCGTGAGCCTAGATTAAGAAAGAACATGTGTTTTGTTCAATTTTATGTTAGAATATGTGTTCAGGAATGTGAATCTTGACTCCAGGTACCGAAATCGGAAGTAGAACGAGTTATTAAAAACTCGAGAAACGAGAAAAATAAGGCGAAACTATGCCAAAATTTCCTAAAAGTTAGTTAGTATGCAATGAGTTAGTAATTGATTCTAGAGAATCAATAACAGTTTTAAAGCTCAAAAATGAACAGATTAAGGTTCAGAAAATCGAGATACACAAATATCTGTAATTTACCTCTTAAACTAGGATTCGGCCTAGAGGGAAAAAAAGGTTCAGAAATGAGTTTGGAATTAGATTTTAAGAATCTAAGTATGAAGAATTGTGATTTGGAATAGGAAATTTATACCTATTTCCACGAAATAGGTTTTGGCACGAGAGCCGAGACAACGAGAAAGAACTTTCAGCAAGCGAAAATCCTAGCGAATTATAAGTAAGTATAGACATATATGTTTGTCTGGACTTGAGTAAACCGTAGTTAGACTTAGAATTATAAATTTATTTATGTTCCTAAGTCTATGTGATTATACATGTTTGGAGGGCTTAGTGCCCTAGATTGCAGAAGGGCGACATATGGCTACCCTTATGCACAGTTAAAGTATGCAAGTAGTATTATGTATTTTATGTTAACATGTGCACGTAGAGAAACGTTGCATATCATTCAGTAAAGTTTTTAACACTTTGAAATGAAAACTCAAAGTTTAGTAATGTAAAGAGACTGACGGGTCGTCGGCTTCTCAAGGGAGGAAATCTCAAAGAGTAGAGATTCTGACTAGACCAGACAGTAAACAGGGGCTCAGGCCCACAGTGATAAGACAGTTTGCAGGGGCCCAGACCCACAGTAGTAAGAACAGAAATACATAAAACAGTTTAAAGCTTGTTTCACACGAGCACATTTACATCATAACTCTTAATGTAATTCTTCTAGTTTATGATGTGTGCATGTTTATACTTGCTGAGCGTTAGCTCATCAGTTTACTCGTGTGCAGGTAACAAAGGTAAGCAGCCGGCCATATAGTGATTTTGCTTGATGGACCGGCGAGGCAAGGGTGGCGGAAATGTCATGGGTACACGGGAGTGGTCTCTACTACACTGGCTTAGAAATTAAATTCTGTTGCAAAATAATGTAATATAGAACCAAGTTTATATGTTTCAGTTTTAAGAAAAAGATGTTACGGTCATTGTCTTAGTAAAAAACAATAGACTGTAATAAGTTAAGATAAGTTTCAGGGACTTATTCCATATCCGATTTCTTAAAGTATTAGCAAGGATAAGTTGTTGTATAACAAAAGAACATGCTAGGAACATGTTAAGAACCCGAGGGTTAAAGAAAAAAAATTTACTCGTACAGAAACGTAAATTAAAGAAGCAATAGTCTAATAACAAGTAATAGATTAGTCTATAACTCGGCCTAATAGTAGTAGTTTAAGGTTGGCGACCCGCTGCTAGGGCGGGAGGCGTCACATAACTACTATATGATATATTTTAATTATATTATAATATTGAAGGGTAATTATGGAAAAAAAATAAAAAAGAACTTAGAATGGTCATTCCTCCCATATAAGGAAGTAATGATGATTCACCCAAAATGGGTGAATGACAATTTCTTTTGAATGATCATTCATTTCTTTTAAATCCAAGTATCCAACCAAACATCAAACTAGAATTTCATTCCATTATATTCCATTCCTTTCTACCCAACCAAACACACCCTTAAAGTATGAATCTTTTTGAACAATATTATTTCATAGATGTCCCTTAGGGTGTGTTTGGTTGGAGGAAATGGAAAGGAATGGAAAGAAATCAAGGCTTATTCTCATGTTTGGTTAGTTTTAAGAAAAGGAATAGCCATTCAAAATGGAATGACTTTTCTATCAAATGGATGAATCATCATTCTTTCCTCATATGAGGGGAATGCCCATTCTAAGTTTTTTTAATTTTCTTTTCCATCATTACCCTTGAATATTATAATTATTATATTAATATTTATAGTATAATTAATACTATATTATAATGTAATTGTATCTTATAACATAAAATATAATATATATAATTATATACGTATATTATATCATATTTAATATTATAATAATATCTTATATTATGTATTATACATTGTAATTATATTTATCATTATAAATATAATATAATATACCATATGATTGTGATATTGTAATTAATAATAATTATATTTATCATTATAAGATAATATAATATAATATAGTTGTGATATTATAATTAATAATTATAATAATAATTGGGATAGTAGTATTTTTATAAAATTAAATATAATAATTAAATATTTTATAAATAATAATATAATATTATATTATGTTATATTATATAGATGTGATGTTTTCATTAATAATATGATAGTTATAATAAAAAGTAGGATTTTATTATTTTAAATATATAATATAATAATTATAATTAGATATTATATTTTATAATATTATAATTATGTATTTATATAATTACAATATAAATTTTATATAAATTAATCACAATATAGTTATTTTATTATATTATATATCATTTTATATTATATATTATATATTATGATTGTATTATACTAATAAATAATTATATAACTATAATTATAATTATATATATTATATCCTTATAATTTTATATATATAATATTAATTATTAAATGATTATATTAATATATATGATATTAGTTATATTAACATGAGGGGTAATTTTGTCAACATGAAAATATTCATATCCCATTCTATTGCATTTGTAAAAATAAAACCAAACAAATAAATAATCTTTCCTTTCCATTCTATTTCATTACCATTCCTATTTACATTCCTATTATCATTCCCTCATTGCAACTAAACGCACCGAGTGTAGATTTTATGTCAACTTGCCTCCCGATTTTAAAAACTTATGGGATAAATTTGACACAAGAGTAATAATTTAGAGAGCATGGTGACTTAAAATTAATAGTTCATGGGCTTTGTAATAGTATAAGTAGTGTCGTGTTATTATTTTGTTAGTTTTCTAAATATATGGGGTATTTTAAATTAGGGTACATAATTCAATGGTAAAATGAATCATTTTCAAAATTTGACGGATATGTTGAAACAAATTTTAAAAGCTTGGAGGGCATTTATAAAAATAATCAAAGTTTAAATAATATTTTTATTTCTCATAATGTAATTAAAAAAATATAAATATGATTTATAAGTACTAACATTAAACAATTCTCTTAAACATAACCCAAAAATTTGCATGCATGATGATGGACAATAATAGGAGTACTTGACTTGATTTCCTTTAGCTAACCTCCAACTTATCGACATGGTTCCTTTATATTCAGATCAGTCTTTGCAACATTATGCAATAACAAGCATCGTGGATAGATAACTAACTTGTTAGCTGACCCGCTCAATAAATGAGACTAGTATCTAATTTTTCCATTACCTTACAATTTGTCTCCAAAATTAAACCTCTGCAAAAATATTTGAAGTAATCTCATTCTCTATTGCTTTCCTCAATGCTCCCTTTACTTGCAAAATATTTTACCACTAGAGAGTTAGAGGTCCTAATTTCTTAATGCACGTTTTTTCCAAAGATTCAAATCAAGTTCATGACAATGATACTCGTTTGTTTTTCAATTCAACAATAACCATAAGAATAATAATAACAACCACAATAAATTATTCAAAACACTCGTTTATTTTATATACTCAAATTATTGATTCTACTACAGTGTTTTCTTTTCACAAAAAATTTAAATTTCAAATGTCAGAATCAAAAATTATGGTTTGAATATACCTTTTAAATAAGCTCAAAGTCTTAAGTCAAATACTCATACAGTCTAGCGAATGTAACTTTTTTTGTATTTTACATGTATACAACACTTAGTTTGTATAAGTGTAACACTAATTATTGTGTTGGACTATATTTTTTAAGTTTACACTTAAATAAACTGAGTAATTGAGCATTGTACATGAACAATGTTATATAGGAATAAAAAAATTACATTAGCAGGACTGGTATGAATGTCGGACTTAAAAAAAGTCATAAAAAAATATTGATATTTTTGCTTCAAATGAAAAACCTATACTTTATGCATCATGGATTATGAACATCAAAATGAAATCCTCCGTATTATCTAAATTATAAAAACTTAAAATTACAATTCAATAGATTAGAATTTTTTTTAAAGTACCCACACATTATTAATTTTGAGAAAGAATTAATTAGGATAAAATAAGAACAATACTCTTACTATTATTATTATTATTTTTTAAATAACCCACATTGCATTCAATTATCCATTTAAAAGAAAAAAAAAACAAGAAAATTCAATTAACTTGAAAAAAAAACCAAATAAACTCACGTTTCTGACTTGTAAAAAAGAAAAAAAAACAGAGAGAGAAAGAGACCTTGAAGGAGAGCGAAGAGAGAGAAGGTGAGAGAGTTTTTAGCAGCGAGCGATCGAAGCTTAACACAGAGCAGAAAAGAGAGCTCTTTCATATTATCATCACCAACGCCGAGAAAACAAAACTTTTCCCGGAAAATGCACTGAGAAAATTCACGCCAGAAGAACACGAAGAAAGAGAGGAAAATAGAAAATAGAGAGAGAAAGTAAGAGAGAGAGAGAGAGACAGAGCAAAAGGATAGACGAAGCTCAAAACCGACCGGGTCACTACCGTTCGATTTCTCTGCAATTCATCCGGTTCTCTGAGGTCAGACTTCAATCAATCTTCCAATAAGCAATCCCTCGCCTTCGTCCAAGCTTTTTCGTCTTTTTTTCAATTTTTTTTTTGGCGCTTCACTGGGCGCTGTTTATTTAATTTAATTTTTTTCGCAATTTATTTATTTATTTCTCTGCAATTCGTGCTCTGCTTAATCCGTGGAGCTTGTAGATCCCATTCTCTCAACTTCAAATTTCTGCTGTTTCTCAAATTTTAAAGCTTTTGAATTGAAAGGGCGGATTTTGATTGGTCGGGTTCCGTAATTTGCAGTTCCGCGAGGAGCCAGGCCGAAATTCTGGTGATTCGAACTTAGGGTTTTGATTTTTCCGAGGTTCTCAATGAATTAAGCTCGGGTTCATGTGGTTTATTGGTGGGATTTAGCGAGTTCCGTACTGGGCTTGATCTCTAGGGTTTTGGTCCCGAGAGGATGAGATTTGGGGCTGCATTGTGCGCTTCGTTGGGTGAGAGAATTCGAGGTTGTTCGGAGACAAGGGTTATTGCAATTCAGTTGGGGATTAGGGTTTTTGGGGTTCCTGAGATTTGGTGAATGATGCGCTCGTCTGTTTATTTGGATATGAAGAGCTTCGCCAGTTGATTAGGAATAATTATGCGTGGGGTTTTCTGGAAACGGAAATAACTCTAAGTTGGTTGGGAATTGGAAGGAAAGTGGGGTTTTTTCTTTTATTATATTTGATTTTTGTGAATGGTGTATGAACCTGTTTAGTTATTGAGAAATGCAACCTCAGCAGTACTCGAGAATTGATTTGGCTGACTTGAAGGCTCAGTTAGTGAAAAGGATTGGTGCCGAGAAGTCGAAACGGTATTTTTACTACTTGAATAAGTTGTTGAGTCAGAAGCTGAGCAAGAAAGAATTCGATAAGTTCTGTTGCCGAGAGCTTGGTAGTGAGAATGTTTCTTTGCACAATCAGTTCATTCAGTCAATCTTGAAGAATGCATGCCAAGCGAAGACCCCGCCGCCAATTCATGCATCAGGTCCCCCTAAACTTGGAGTGCAAGCTGCAAACAGTTCTCCAAGCAGAGAAGATGGGCATGAGCAAGTTGGGGCTGGTTTCTCGAGTCAAAATCAAAATGTGCCCATTCGGTCGAATGGAGTTCTGCCCATGTCGCCCCGAAAGATTAGGTCAGGGATACGTGATCGTAAGCTCAAGGATAGACCAAGTCCTCTTGGACCTAATGGGAAGGTAGACAGTGTCTTGTACCCATCTATGGGGTTGGAAGAAAGTGGCAGTAAGGTTGGTATGGAAAATGGGGATGCAACTCCATGTGATTATCAGAGACCAGTTCAGCATCTTCAACCAGTTGCTGAGATGCCTGAGATTGAAAGGGAAGTTGGGGTTTTGCGACCTACAGAGAAACCAAGAATACACAGTAAGGATCAGGCTGGAGGAGCCGTTGCCGATGATGAGGAAGAGGTGGAACAGTCAAACTGCTTGAATTTCTCTAGAAGCCCCTTACTTGCTCCGCTTGGGATTCCATTTTGCTCAGCTAGTGTAGGTGGGGCCCGCAAAGCTACACCCGTTGTAGCTAGTTGTTATGACAGCGGTGGGTTGTCTGACACGGAGACGCTGAGAAAACGCATGGAGCAGATCGCTGCAGCACAGGGTCTTGGAGGTGTTTCTATGGAATGTGCCAACATGTTGAACAGCATGTTGGATGTTTACTTGAAGCGACTGATCAGATCTTGTGTCGAGTTGGTCGGAGCAAGGTCTTCGCACGAGCAAAAGAAGCACCCTGCCCAGAAGCAGCAGATTCAAGGCAAGGTCATCAATGGCATGTGGCCAAGTAATCACTTGCACATGCACACTGGCAATGTATCCGTGGAAGCTATGCAGGAGCAGAGACCGCAGCGTTCAATATCCTTGCTTGATTTTAAAGTTGCCATGGAGTTAAATCCACAGCAACTTGGAGACGACTGGCCATTGCTGCTTGAGAAGATTTGCATGCTTACGCTTGAGGAATGAAACACCTACAAAGAATTGTTTCTCCAGAGCTTTGATTGGGTCAATCTGTTCTGGTTCAAATGGCGCGACAGTTGTGGGAGGTGCATTTATGCATCTACCTCTCTTGTCATTGCCTGAAAGGACCAGATGAGCCCCAATTGGGTAAATTTCGTCCCTCCAAGAGATGCAATGGCTTTGAGCTCGAAATGTCTGCATTTGCTCACTGCAAGCAAGCTCGGCCAGGAATGATTCAACTGCAACCAACCAATACAGGGATGTTTCAAATTGAATGCCCACATTTGGTTGTGCTGTTTAATGTTTAGCGTTGACATTGGCTATACCTGCTATTAGTTCAGATCTTGAGCTCTTGGTCTTATTGACAGCGAATGAAGAAAAAATCGAAGAAAGTTTTGCAGATATACTGTTGTGTAACTTGGTCAAAGGTCAAATCACTTGTACAAGAGCTGCAGTGTTGCTCTGTATGTATTTCTAAAAGCTGATATAGTTAATTGGAATTCTCATATCAATAACACATTAACACCTGTTGATCTTTCCTTGATTGTATGACTCCCACATATCCACTGAATAATGAAATATCCCACTGCTCAAGGTGTCATTGATTTATAACTCTTAAATGTTGCTAATGCTAATACGTACGGTACTGCTGATGTTATCATGTTATCATTCTCTTTTGCTTTGTCAAGAAAACTTGTGAATTGCTAATGAATGGTGGTGAAATGTTATGTTATATATAGAAACAAGGGAATTCATTCTTGAAACCATCTTGCATTGTTGTTTATGTTTGCTTCCTTGTGCATACTGACATTTCGATTTCGTCTTTTAATGAAGAAGCTCATGTTTGTTCTTTCGCATCATTCAGTTTCTTATTGTGCTTGGATTTCATATTGGAGATTTCATCGTATTTCATCTTGATTCTAGCACGAAGATGACATATAAGGTTGCAGGACATTCTAGTGAGTCTTGTGCAGGAATCTTCCATCCAGTTTTGCTGCATTGATAGAGATACCTTTTTTCTTTTGGCTGTGAATAAAGATTCAGATCCTTCCTATTTGCATCATTGTGCTTGAAACGTGAACAGGAGAATATTCATCCATTCACTAAACTGTACAAATTCGTTTTTAAAGCGAAAAGGAATTTTTTTTTATTTTAAAAAATGTAGTTTTTATTTTTTTAATTTTGAGACAAGGAATAGCAAATTGATGAATATTTCTTGGTCTGTATGTTCCAGGGGCACAAACGGATCTTTTATAATCAGTTTCATTCTACGAGTACAAAAACAAGTAGTTTGGATCCAGGATGCCATTATGTCAGATCGTCATTTCCCATGTTTTGCATTTGCCTTCTATTGTCTCCTGTCGCTAATTTAAAGGTGAATTCCGGTATCACTTGCAAAACATAACACATCATCATTTTGCAAAACTGAAACAGGAAAGGAGACAAATACTCTTTAGAGTGTATGGATCTGGATTTTTACCATTTACTCTTGATTAATATTCTTTTTTGTTAAATAATTATATATTAGTTAAAAAGATATTAATCAAGAGTAAATGATAAAAATTCAGACTCATCACTTTAAGGGCAAGTACAACAATTTTCTCAAACTTTTTTCTTATGGAATAATCAATCAACGGTACTTACCAACATGCTAAGACTTGTTGGTTTATGATTTAATTCCCAATGAAATGGATGTTCATTCTCCATAGCCACCTTTTCACTTTCCAAGTCAAACTTAATATGCTTAAACTTCAACTAGTGTGACAATTGCTCCTGCAAAGACTTGTAATCTTACGCATGAGAAGAATAAATCGATTACCAGCGGCTTTCCCTGCATTGCTTGGTTCGTTACAGTATGGTTTGATGAAGATCAAAGACATTATATTTATGGTCTTTTCCCTATCTTTGCATCATAGACTGAAATTCGAGTTTGAGATGGTTGATTCAGTGTTCAGGATTTCTCTAATAGCAACCGACCGCAACCGCAATCTTTATGGAACAGGACTGAATCTAGGATTAGTATCTTGTTTGCTTCCATCTGCCGTCGTTAACCTCGGCAAAGTCTCCATGAATCATTGTAATCTGTAATAAATCTTTTGTTTGTTGATAGGTTTGATCTTGTGCTCCTTTTTCAAACTAAATACGTGACAATCAGTACTAAGATATAAATCTGAGGGAAGCCATCAAAGAGGAAAGGATCAACATGAGATTAGTTTTGAGAATCTGAACTTTCTAAAACGAGTAATTAGAGCTTCTACTCTTTGACAACTGATCTTTCGACAAGTAGTATTGCAGCTACTCAACAAGTTGGTCCTTCTCACGTCATTAAGGATCTCTAGAATTCCCTCGTTTTTGTGTTTTGTGTTGTTTTCCGGGTTTCTCGTTACCTCCGCCCTAATTTCTCGACTTGTCATCTTCATTCTCAATTTTCTATCTTGCTAGCCCCACGGAATTAATTACACGAGTTGTCGATACACAAGTTCTTGAAAAATTGGGCGGTTGACTTTATCGTGATCTCCTGATAAAACTTTGAGAAATCTAAAGAAACGGCCCTCTCTAGCGAGGTATAAGGATTTATATCCTCATTAGCTTGTTATTGTGTAATTCAAAGTTGTATCCGTTGGATTTGTTTTTTGATATTTCCACGACACCTTGGTCTCAGAAATCTACCGTATCACTTGTTAGAGTTTACTAATCAATCGAACGTGGTATGCTTTACTATTCTGATGTTGTCATGTTTTCTCAATGCAGTTGGTGCCTGGTGGAAGTAAAGTATCATGTAAGAGCATATTTAGCTGGACATAGATTGATTTGGAACTACGAATTCTAAAATGTTTTAAAACATTTCTTGTGAAATAAACAACTTCCTCTTGGCCCTTGTAGCAATTCTCCTTCTGGTAAAGACAGCTTATTCCCTAATTAATTTTCTTGATAAACACTCTTAGTGGCCAATGAATGATTGAGTACACTTAAGACCCATTTAGTTTGTTGATTCAAGTTTAGACGTGACTTCATGTGAGAACTTCTTACTGTAACAAAAAAAAAATGTGACTGCTTCTAAAAGTTTTTTACTGTAGCAAAACTATAATTCTAAACTCGAATCGGTGAAATGAACAATGCCTTAGTTAACTCCTTAAATCATATGGGGTTGTCTTCTAATTGTGCAAATAGAGTTTTAAGGAGATCTTAACCATGAGCCCATTTTGTTCATAATTAGAAAGATATGCTCTCTGTAGTTTGAATTTGACTACCAAATAGTTCGTTTATGGAATGACAAAACTAACGCAAATTACTCAGCAATCTCGGAAGACAGTAGGAAAAACGTCTCAACCACTGCCAGGGGTGAAGTTGAGAGTAGAGTTTGACAAATGAGAGAGAGAGAGAGAGAGAGAGAGAGAGAGAGAGAGAGAGGAGGGATTCAAAAGAAACAACTTGTGATATTCACAGTTTCATAAATGAGTGCAGAGTTCCAACCGTGTGCACCAACAGATTGGGTTTATTAGTTGATGTAGATCAAGGGAATCGATTATGTACACAAAAAAGAAAAAGGACAATTAATATGAGAAAAGAGAGAGACCCACTTCACTTGTACACAATATGCCTCCTCTGCACATAACAAATTGTTGAATTATGTGGACGATGGCGGCATGGGTGAAGGTGATGACGAAGGTGACGGAGCTGCGGACGACTTGCATACAGGGCACCAATTCTTAAGACGCAGCCACTGTTGTATGCAAGCAACGTGATACCTGTGCTCACACTGCAACCTTCCCACTTCATCCCCACCCACGTATTCTTCCTGTACGAAACAGACCAATGAAACATTACAAATTAAAAAGAAGTAAATCCCAACCGGCGTAACAGAAAAATAAGTTAATCGATGGTTGTAGTACAGAGGACATTGAGGTACAAAATTATCAAGAATCTGACTAGGAATTTGCCCATCTTAGTATAAAGTTCTTTTATAGCTGCAGCTTAAACTAAAAATGAATCCATTCAGAACTCAGTAGCGGTGTTCGCATGCATTTATGCTCTTAGACAATTTTTGAACCTAAAACCTAAAGCCACTCCACCGCTCCTCGTGAATTTTTCACTTAACACTTTCTTTACTATTGAGCTCATGACTGCCAATCAAATCAAGAAAAGTTAGAAGGAATTATGGGAAGCATACCTGGCATATACTGCATTTGACATCATCATTATCGCCATTTCTTCCCGAAACAACACCATCTAGAGGTATAGACTGATAGATGCTTCTCTTAATGCATTCTGACAAAGCTTCTTCAGTAAGCGCTGTACTCACAGTACCAATCCTCTCTTCAAGAGCTAACAATTCCTGTCAAGTTAATAGTAAAACATTTTTTATATAAACGAACTGCAAACATATAACGAACCATTCCTGTCAAGGTAACAGTTTTTATTTATCTTTTTCCTCTAAGACTCATTAAAAGGATCACCAACTGATCCAAAAGCAGAAGATAATTTTGAATGCGCAAAACGGCAAAGATCGTAGAGAAGGGATAATAAAGAGATATAATATGATATGAATTACATCTAAACTTGGTTTTACTATCGTAATTATAACGAACCTCATATGTCATGTTATCAATATCCAGCCTCATGTCTCTATGCTGATCATAGAAACTTATTCCATTGAGGAACAAATTGCTCTCCAGTGCAAGTATTTGCTGCAATAAAACAGAAAAAAAACTTGTTAAAAAAAATGAATATTATATATACATACACGTATATAATACACACACACACACACGCACACACATGTTTATGTATATTAACTACCTCAAATGTTAGCTCTTCATCCTGTTCAATCCTCTCAAGCGCCAATAATACCTGCAAAATTTTATGAAACAAACAGTATTTCTAAGATATTACAAAAGACACATGAAGAAACCAGTAATTGAGGCATAATGTTAGACCTAACATTCGTCACTTTGTGGTGCGTATGGAAGTTATTTGTCCTTTCCAACTAATGTTGTTCAACCACATAGATATGCTACAAAAATTTATTAAGAGAAGATACCTCTGCAATACCATCTATGTTGTACCGCCGCAAACTATCACGATTCAATGAAGAGTGACTAAAACCAACTTCAGGAGCACCAGATGGTAAAGTACCACGTATGTTCTCAATGCTACTGCCTGATAGACCATAAGAATTAGATCGACTCAAGGGAGCTTCAGTGAATGATAGATGTGATGAACCGGAAGAACTCGTGTCAATAGATATATCAGGACGAGACCGCTGCGGGATAGCCCCAGCAGAGGCATTGCGTGATAAACTGTTTCCACTTCCTTGATTAGAAAGCCTTGTTCTTGTTTGACTATTGATCGATCTCCGAGTTCTAAGTGATGTAACAACATTTTCCCTGTTAGGAGGTGTATTTCCAGCTCTTCTTGAATCAGAAATGGAGATGCCGTTGGAGGAGGGGTTCTGTCCTGATGACAACCCGTTTATCTTCTTGCCCCTGATAGCAGAGCTACTTTCCCCTTCCGAATTTCTCTTTTTCATCAATTCCCTCCTTCTACCTAGGCTTAAATCCGATGATGAACAATTTGATGGGACAACATCAGATATTGAATTGCGTCTTAGACTTCTCAACCCGTACCTGGTTGTACTAGCATTTGTTTTCAAGCTAAGGTTTTTAGATCCCGAAGAGGATGACGGACCACCTAAAGTAGCTTGGTTGCTCAATCCAGATCTCTGGTGAAAATTCCCATGAGATCTTGTATTTGACGCTACACTAGAGCTTCCTACTTCCATTAATGAGACCTCACTAGACTCCATGTTTTTGGTTTCAAGGTGAAGTCCTCTTTGAATCTTTCCAGGTGGAGTAATAAGTTCTGCAACTTCTTGTTCATCCTGGACACTACTAGTTTCAAACGAATCCGTTTCTAATTGAGATAGGCTTTTACAAGGCTCCGCGATGGATTTTCTTGGGTGGTTGCTGACAGAAGCGCATGTCCTAGAGGAACTCCCAACTATCTCCTTTCCGCTACTAGATGGACGCACTGAAGGCCTCAGAGGTTTGGATTTTCCAATTTGAGTACCCTTTGTGGAAGTTAGACGCCCATTGCATCCAAGTCTGTTACAGAATTGGGCACTGCTATCTCTGTTGCTAGGAGTTTCTCTCAAAACCAGACCAGATCCTTTTCTAGAGACAACAAGCCCATTGACAGCTCGTTTTCCAGAGAATTCATCCATGTATGAAAATTTTTAACTGTAAGAACGGTGATAGAAGAATGTTAATTGCGGCCGATTGATAATGATTTTCCAAGTTCTGACATTGTTGAGAATAACTATGATGGTCTGTGTTCTTTACTAAAGCATAAAGACATATGTTCCATAAAAGCAAGCATAAAGAGGCATGCACCAGTTACTATCAAGATTTATTGGATTTAGGAGATGCAAAGAATTCAGGCTGCTTGAGCAACTCCAAAGAATGATAATAACTCCTGAGGCTAAGATTAAAAAATATTCCAAGGAAAAAAAAAGGAGAGGTAAAGTTTGTGCTTTGGATAACTTAAACAATGAGGGCCAAAAAAAAGAAAAAAAAGAAAAAAAAAAAAAAAGGAGGAAATAAAAAACCAGCTCAACCTTGCATATCGGTATTTCCAAATTTACCACACACACATATAGAAAAAAATCCCTAAATTTTTTTTAAGAACATAAGGTCTTAAACTATTTTGATTTATTCACCAAAAACACATGGTAATGGACGTATACAAATATAAAATCAATAACAAAATAAGGTAAACGTTTTAAGAGACTACATCAAAAGCTTTCTCCCAAAAAACCAATCTCGAATTCTTTATCTGTTCAATTTCGAAGTAAAAATCCAATCTATAACAATACATCCAGTTTAGAAGTACTCCTTCAAGTCAGACTTGTAAAATTCAATTGCATAGTTCAGAGCAGCAATAGAGTTCTATGGAGCATACAGAAGAAACCCACTTCCTAAATCCTAACAATCAAAACTCAATCACAAACGAACAGCAAACAGATAGACAAGTCCATATACATAGACATACATACATACATACATACATACATACATACATACATACATATATATATATATATATATATATATTAAAAGCCATCAATAAGCTTTATGACCACAGGAGAAAAGAGGAAATACTTACATGCATGAAACACCTCAAGTCTCTATTGTTGAAGCGTTCGTAAGAACAACAGAGATAATCAAATACTCTGATCATCTCAATCTAAAAACATAAAGGGGAAAAAAAAAGGAGCAAAACAAAAAGGAGGAAAAACAGGAGACAGATGGCTTTATGCCCATGTTTCATTCCCCCAAAAAATTTGGTCTCTGAATTTATTTTTATTTTTATTTTTATTTTGTTTTTTTAGAGGATAAAAGCTGTGGTTGGATTGAATTGAACTAATTCCCCGCATCGCTCCTAGTTTCTATATTTAAAAAGACTCTTTCAAAACCGCGATTTAAGGGCTTCAACAAAACCGATTCCCCTCAAAAAAAAAAAAAAAAAAAAAGATTACTGTTTTGTTTGCTCCTTCATATATGATATTTTCCAGGAAACCAAACGAGAAAATTTTTCTCTGAACAGAAAATATCAATACCTAGAGTTCAATCATCAAACAACCAATATAACAAACACAAAACTATAAATACATACATGTGTGCATATATATACACGAACACGAAACAGGAGAACCTAACGAGAAGAAAAGAACAATAAATTTGTTGGGGAAAATTCAAGGAAATTCGTACTTCAAAAAAAATGCTTAGTCTAAATTTGTAGACGATTTATTATAAAAGAGAGAAAAAAAGATAATCGGATTCTTGTTCTACCTTTTTTTTTTTTTTTTTTTTTTTTTTTTTTTTTTGCTGTTCTTCGTATTCTTCTTCTTCCTTTGAACCCAGAGAAAGCTGTCTTGCCTTTAGAGAGAGAAAGGAGTTCTTTTTTAGAGAGAGAAACGAGGAGAAGGAACCACGTACGTGTATGAATGATCCGAGGCTGAGGAAGAAACTCTTTTTATTTCTTACTAATTTATTTTTATTTTATTCTGTTTATTGTTTTGGGTTAATTCACAATGGTCTTTTAGATTTATCCCTAATCTCATTTTTGTTCTCATTTTTAAAATATTTGATAGTGTTGTCTTATTTTTAATTAAATATTAAACATTTAACGGAATTTATAAAAATTAAAAATACTTAAGTTTAAGAATTAAAACAATATAAAAAATAAAAGTTAATTTTTACATATAATTTCTAAATTTTAATTGTTTTTAATTTTAATATCTGATTTACATAGATTTCATCAAAAAATTTTAAAAAAATTCAAATACCAACTATGAGATATTGTAAAAATCAAAAATCAAAATGAGATTAAAGGTAAACTTGAAAAACATTCGCGGATTTAACCCTATTGCTATTTCTTTTCCCTCAACTCATAAAAGAAACGAAGGAACAAATGTTTTGTGCCCCTGTCTAAAAACTTTTCACTTCTTAACTGATCCCAATTAACTTTTTCTACAAAAAAAGAAAAAAATCACGAGTATAATTTTAATTTATTTTGAAAAAAACCCAATTAATTTACATTTAAACGAATAAAAAAATCCTCACCTTTTTATATAGTAAGATATTGGATTACCGTTACTCTTTTCTTTTTTTTGAAACTCAATTGAGTGAAATGATTAATTTACTATATTTAGTGTCGCAATAATGATTAATTAATGAGCTAATTAGCTAACAAGTTTATTGCCGCCCCTGAATACCATAAGCGAGTTTGGTAAGCAATTAATCAGCCGTTGGATTAAGGGGCTTTTGAGTTGGTCAGAGATCGACGGCTGTTCTTGACTTTGACGTCCTCTTCAAAAAGAACCTTATGGAGGGAGGCTTTGGCCTGCTTTTCAATGGACTGCAAGAAACATTAAAAAAATTAAAAATTAAAAATTAAAAATTAAAAAAGATATTTTTTTAATGTTTTGTTTAAGCGCACGGTGTTTTTTATTTATTAACTGTTTAATTTATATTAAATTTAATTACAAGTCAATCAAATTAAAAATAATACAAATTGACAGTATAAATAAAAAATATTGATATTTTAAAAAAAAATAGAACACTAAAAAAATTCTATTTAAAAAACCACAAAAAAAATATGGAAAAAAAGGGAAAGAAAAAGGAACAATAAAAAGCTCTACGGCTCTACCTCTACCTCTACCCCACTTCACCAGCTGAGCCGCCTAACCTCTAAAGTTTTTTTAATATATATATATATATATTTATTTTTTTTTTTTTTTTTCTTTCTTTCTTTTGGTTTTAAATTTTTGCTTGAAAAGATATTAGAAATGTCCTTTTTCGGACAGGATAAATTCATGACCCACTTTTAGCTGTGAGACGGTGTTGTTCACGCGCTTATAGGATAATTCGATTTGGTAATAATATGCACTTTTACTTATTCAGCAAAAAAAAAAAAAAAAAAAAAGCATTTCTATATATGTTCCTTTATTGCACTATTTCTCATTTTATTCACTATTTTTCTAATCTTATTTTGGCAACTTTAAATTACTCATTTACAAAAGAGTTACATTTGTGTTATGTTATCTTGTTTTCATCTTTCTTTGAATGAGGAGAGGCAATAAAGTTATTTATCTCTAATATAGAATGGAATTATATGTATATTATTTGCTTCTAGCTTGGATGATATAATGGTATTCCATGCTATATTTGTACATAGTCTTTCTGGAAGTTAATTACCCGTCATTTGTTTTAGAAAATGAAATCGTAACATTTGCATCATATTAGAGATCTTTATGCATCATATTTGTATGCCAAATTACATCTTTAATGTAAAGGATTGCCACGAGATTTTAGAAACTTATTATTATTATTATTTTGAAGGCAATGATTGTTCTTTATTTAGCCATATTGAAGGAAGCTTAAATGGACAAAGAGTATTTTTGCCTACACATAATCGAATATTAATCACAATAGACTATCTAGTTGGTTTTATCAAAATTATTAAGACAAAAGGCCGAGAAACGTTTCTTAAATCTTAGTTCTTAGAGGAAAGAAAAAAAAAATCTTCTTATAATGGAAAGCCATAATTCTTTTGATAAAGATTCAACCCTTTAATCTATGTATTTAAATAATAATTTATCCCCAACGAATGTATAGTTTCAAACATATTGCTTTTCATCATAATGGAAGATATGTTATTCAAGTAAAAGATGATGAAGCATGGTATGAAACGGGCCTTGAATGTTTGAATTCCACACTGTTGTTAGTAGAATATGATTAATTTCCAAATTAATTAATGAACACAAGGAATTTATTGATCCTTTATGAGATGGAAATGGTCCCATACAGTGTCCAACTCCCAAATTGAATATTCATCAAAATTTGCACAAATTAACTAGACAAAACCAAATTGAAACTTACAAAGATAATTCAAATTGAACTTGACATTGTTGAAAAGACAACGGAGTGAGACTAGAGTTCAATACAACATAATGAACAAAGACAAGTAGACTTTTTTGTAGCGATACACGAGTTTTTTTGTTATTTATTAATAATATAAACTTAATGCTAGAGAGTTAGACTATACACCTCAACGTTAGATGTATTTATTTTTTTTTGTATAAATATATTTATGTAAAATTACTGCTAGATAAACAAAATTAACAATATACAAGTTAATCTATATGGTCCCGATTACTTTAAGTTTTGAATTGAAAGGTTACGAGGCCTAAAGAAAAAGTAAGTGTGTGTTTGTTAAAGGGATTCAAACTAAATTGTTTGAACTAAAATTTTAATTTTTGTGAGAAAAATATTATAGTAGAACCGTTTAAATTTAAATTTTTTCACCAAACATACCCTCAGTGTTCCTGATCATATGCTTGATGCACCGTTGGATTTAGGATCATTAATGCTACATTTGGAACAATAATTCGTGTCATAGTTCATAGCTCGCAATAATATTTTATCTCATAAAAAACACACAAACTGAAAATAATTATGAATCATAATCTTAAACTCATAAATTAAACGTCTACTAAATTTTATTTACATGACCGTTGAATGTTACGTTTAGAAGTGAGGTCCGTGCCACCTGCAAAGGGCGAGGACTGCCAAATTGCAGCCGATAATGGGGATTGGGTCATGGTTACAAGGCATTTTGGGCATGTCGGTCTTCGTCTCAACGTGTCCTTTGGATGTTTTGGTATAGGAGAGA